GATCTAAGGCAGACAGACCATAAATCCGACATCTACAAGGTCGACATAGAAAATGCCGTCTTGATCTAATGCAGACAGACCATAATGCCGACATCTACAAGGTCGACATAAAAAATGCCGACTTGATCAACGGCAGATAGACCATAATGCCAACATCTACAAGGTCGACATAAAAAACACCGACATGATCTACGGCAGACAGACCATAATGCCGACATCTACAAAGCAAACACATAAGAGGCCTAGTGACCGTAAGGCCGACAAGTTTTTAATAAAACAATTATAAAAGAAAATTTGTACAAGTCCAAGTGCACAAAGTTTAATCTGCTCTATAAATTTGCATTGATTTGAATAATGGAACCTACAATTTGCATTCTTTCATTTACTTTAGAAATATGGAAGTATTATGAAATACCCGTTTATCCATTGTACACTCACGTCATTTCAAGTCGCATGGACCCGCTTGTTCACCTTATAAGGATAGCAACTAGCATTTTCTCTTGGCGTTCCGCCTTATTGCATGTGGGCGACGATTTCGTGGGCCATTAACTTCGTTCATTACTGTGTGTCTATAATGGATCAGTTCTATTACATAGGAAATACATTTTAACATAATTTACTGATACAGAACGTAAGTTTTCAGTCGTTGTGCTAAACATGTTGGCAAGCTTTATATTCACGTAATAAATGTTTTATTGTCGTCGTACTACAGCCGCACTCAATATACACCTAAGACAAGACAAGAGTATAAATTTTATATCACAACTCCTTATACAGTATGTTTTTGTGGTTTCTGGTATCGAGGCTAATGTAAAATAAAAATATAATAATTTTCTCTAGCTATTTACGTAAACGCGTATATATATATATATATATATATATATATATATATATATATATATATATATATATATATACACTGATCTACTATCTAAACTATGGCAAAATGATGCAATGTGCATATCCTCGTTTTCAGAATAAGGGCAGCGGTGAGCGTAAAACAAGTTACAAATAATTTAAAAGTTTCTAAACCAAAGTCAAAAAGTCATATTTTGATACTCAATAAACTTAATTAAGTTTGAGATTGAAAGTTTTAATATTTGATAGTTTTGCCATACACGTACAATAAAGCAAATCTACAACTGTCGCGGTTGAGGAAATTTACTTGATCTTTCCCATGTAACGTCTACACAAGAGTATAAACTAGAAACATAATTGAGTGATGTAGGCTAAAGTAAAAGTGATTTTAAAAAATGACAATTACACAGATCTTGTTGCTTATATTGACGGATTTTATCCTACCATACGGATTATCATTCAAACATTTTAAAAGCAGTTTCTTTAAATGTGTATATGTGCGATTACTGCGATTTGGAGGATGTGATAAGTATTTTTATTGTGAAATCCAAAAGTGTAAAATTCAAATATACCGGGAAACAACTGAATAAGTATTTCTTAATCCATCATTTTAATTGTTGCTCACCTTTGATCGTATATAGTTTTATTAAATATTATTATTAAAGACCTGCTTAGCTTTTTAAATATACCTTTATAACCTGTATTTGAAAGACCACAGCAAAGAGTTGTTTTTTATTTTACAAGTTTAATTAAATTATTTATCAGAAAATAAACTTAAGAAAACGACATAATATATCATCATGCTTTATGAATTTTATTCCATATTCGAACCTAAGTAGACTTGATTTAACGGTTGCGTTATACATTGTGTTTCATCACATTTTGTTAAATGTACAATGCAACATTAAAGCAAACTTGTATATCATACGGTCAGTTAAGCAGAAAATTTAAAGTTCATTTATTTGTTCTACCCATGACTTATTGTGCTATTGAGTCCATTCGGAACACCAAGTAGAACTTTAATTCCTCCAAACATGTCCTGTACACATGAGTGATAAAAATATGTACACCAATGTACGTACTCAAACCTGAGATTCAAACTCGTGCTCTTGGGGACAAAATGCTTGTATTCCATCACTCGAACATGTCGTCCCATTTATCCAGTTGATTTTTTAAAGTTCTACTTTACAGTTATAATTTTTGAAATATTTGAAGTGTTTTATGTTTTTCAATAATACTAGTTAAGTAGCCTATACCAATGCGGGTCCATAAACTTTTATTTAAGTTATTCACAAAATCACCATCAGATTGTTCAATGATATCTGGTAAATTAGAATGACAACAATTCTTACACAACTGTTCGTCAATCACATCAGCAAGATCTCATTTTACATTTCAATTGGAGCGGGTCTAGAATCGTCGAAATATAAAACTGCACTACCTGATGTTCCACTTTTATCAAATGTTCTTATTCATCTTAGTTTTACAGGTGTATTAGACATAAACAATGTGGCTTTGTTGTAAAGTTTAAACTTACAACCCATGACAGCCAATCTACTGCCGGTGACACATCGGTAGGATGGCCTAATCTACTGCAGGCAGCAGGTGACACACCGCAAGGGTAAAGTTTGGGGCTCACAGTCACCACCTGGGTATAGGACGACACGGCTAACACTTGAGCAATTTATCTACTCCTGGAGATGCTGACGTGTATATTTCGCTCAATCACGTACGCAGCCCCCCCCCCCCCCAACATGTGTCTCTCGGCATTCACACCACGTGCCTGACATCATGTTTCCCCCCCCCCCCCCATTCACACCACGTGCCTGACGTCATGTTTCACCGTCTCGGACATCTGTGTTGACCATACATTGAGTGGTGTAAGTAAAACTATAAAACAGTTTCTAAACCCGAGTTAGAAAGGCACATTTTGATACTCACAAAGCTGTTTCATCTAGAAGGTTTAAATGTTTGACAGCTTTGCTGTAAACGTTCAATAAAACAAATCTACAACTGTTGCTATTGAGGAACTCTACTTCATCTGTTCCATGTACACTATACTCTGTGACGGTAACAATGTGTTGTACTTATCTTGTTATCAATTTAATTCGCTCTATTTAAAACATTATTCTCCTAACAACAAAGGAACTGCAGGAACTGATGTAAACTGAAACATTGGAAATTGATTTAAAAGAAAAAACTGCAAACAACCGATCGTGATGCTAAAATTGACTGAATTTTATCCCAGAATGTATACTGTCATTCAAATATTTTAATAGCATTTTTTTTTTAAATTTATATTTTGCAAGCTGTCGGGTGAATAGGAATATTGTATTGTGAAATACAAAAATGTAAAACGTCAAATTTAATAAACAGGCATACAACTGTGTAAATACTTTTTATTCAATTATTTTCATTTAGAGATCGCACTGTCTCTTAACTTTGTCCAAGAACTTTTATTTCATATACTTGTTTTATTGTTTTTATCACAATATCTTACAGAGTGTATACTTATGAAACAGATGTACTTACTTGCTTAAACCTCGCCCCTTCCTGTGGAGTATAGGGCAGCCACAAATCTCCGCCCATCCACTCTGTATTGGGCTAGCTACTTCAGTTCATGCCACGACTTGTAAGTAGCCAGAACTTCTTCCATCTCTCTCCTCCATGTTCCCAGTAGTCTTCCTCTCTTTTCCACGTGGAGTCCATTCTAGTGCTATGTTCGGGAGTCTTCTGATATGCGAAGAACATGAAACCGATATAATCCCTAATTAATGTGCATGCTATCCTGAAAATGTATCGATATTTCAACCTAAGTAGGATTGGTGTAACAAGTGTGTTAAACATTGTGTTAAATATTATATTTAAATTGACCAGCAACTTTAACTAACTTGCATAGCATGCAGGCAGTTTGGCAGAGAAAGTAGAGTTCATGTGTTGGTGTTATACCCATGACTTATTACGTCATTAAGCCCACGTGGGACACCCAGACAAATTATTTTTCTCCAAACATGTCCACGTACACATAACATTAGTGCAACAAAAAAAAGGTAATCTAACATGGGAATCAAACTCGTGTCATTGGGGATTAAATGCGCGTAGTCTTTTACCCGATCATGTCGTCCCATTTCTCCAATTGCGTTATTTAGGCCGCGGTTTACAGTTTTCATGTTTAAAAACTTACATTCCGTGTTTTACATTTACACTAGTTGTTCTTTCACTGCCGATCTTTCAACCTGTGCAAAAGATGTTTTACAATATCAGTCAGTTTGTTCAAGGATTTCTAGTCAATGACAGCAGTTTTTACACAAATGTCAGTCAATGACAGCAGTGTTTACACAAATGTCAGTCAATGACAGCAGTGTTTACACAAATGTCAGTCAATGACAGCATCAAACTACTTTTTCACTTTACATTTCTATTGGAGCAGTTCTAGAAGCGACGAAGTATCTAAATATGGTATGCGACGTGTCAAATATTTTTAAATGATTAGAATTCCTCATTTTTCTATTTATCTCATATAAATTAGTCTTACGGGTGTATTGAGCATAAAAAATGGACTTTGTTGTAAAGTTTAAACTTACAACCCATGACAACCTGGCGCGAACATACACATCACAACATGCTCTGTTTAACAACAACTTAAACATCAACAGACAACAAAGATTTAAATAACAACAGTAGAAAAACATTTTCTTTTACCATTTAATGTTGTCTAGTGTGAACATTTTGTAAGTAAATACAAACAACATGCATATGACATTTAACAGGTAGGTTACATTTTATTTACAGGTAATAGCCAGCCTATATGTATTTGAAACAAAAAAACTCTAAAACCTATCAATGTACATGTAAATTAATTCGGTTAAACGGTTTACATCAATCAAAACATTTGTTTTAATCATTTAAACGTAATAAAATGGTTACAAGACATGCAGGTCTTAACACAATCAGTTTAAAGACGGGAAAAGTTCCGCCATTTTGTTTGTTTACATTTTGTAGACAAGGGGAGAGAACAGTTACATCAGTTCCAATACTCCCCACTATAATTTCCTTCAGAGTTTGATCCACTGTGGGGAAGTGACGACCGCCACCACCCGTCATATCGCAGCCTGTAGACACATGCTCCACTGGAGCCAGGACATGTACATGTTGTGTACCAGAACCTGGTGCAGCCATTCCTCTCACGTATGTTTGTCCATTGTCCTACAGAGACCTGTTTAGGACAGCCATGAGGATGTGACACTATAACGGTCAACATGTCCACACCAGCAAATCTCCTGTATTTGTTCCTTACTTTATCACATAGACCATTAAAGTGCCGCCACATCTTGTCCAGTTCATCAACCAACTTTAAGTCACATGTCACATATCTCAACTTACACAAGTTGATCCACTGTGGGGATGTTGATACCACAACCCGTCATATCCCATCCTGTAGACAGTCGCTCCACTGGAGCCAGGACATGTACATGTTGTGTACCAGTACCTGGTGTACCAGCTATTCCTCTTACTATTGTGTGTCCATAGTCCTACAGAGACCTGTTTAGGACAGCCATGAGGATGTGACACTATAACGGTCAACTTGTCCACATCATGAAATCTCCTGTATTTGTTCTCTACTTCCCTACATAGATCAGCAAAGCGCCGCCACATCTTGTCCAGTCCATCAATCAACTCTAAGTCACATGTCACATATTTCAAATTACACACGTCTCCCCCTATGTCTGCCTCACCCCCTACCACCTCCCAGCCATCAAGACTGACCCCTGGACTTTTATTGTCATCAAAACCTAAAACACACCTGGTCTGTCTCGCCTCACTGTCATCAAACACCACGTGTCTGGCTGTCAACACATAAACCTCCCCCCACACTTTGCTGGGTGTGGCAGAGACTTGACACTTGGCACAACGACAAGTTCCCCTTCTGTCACTCTCTGTGTACTTGTCCACATCACACACCCTCCCGTTTCCTAACCTCATCACGTGACTTCCTGTGTCATTATAACATGGATATGGAACTTGAGTGCCTCGGTAAAACTCTGGTCTCTCTAGACTGGTGAATTTAGTCTTTACCTGGACAGTTAGGGCTGCCAATCTTTTGATTGTCTCAGACATGAGGTCGTCGCCATGGTAACGTGAGGGGAGACAACTTGCATTGAAATCTTTAAGAGGTATAAAACCTTTGTGACCTGGATTCTTCTTACAGCCAGTAACATGTTTGTGTAGATCAGCTTCTCCTCCGTAGCACATCTCAGCTTCATGATTTCCTACAGGAACAGACAACAAATTATTTCTCTAGCAACAGAAATGTTAGATTTAATGGAACAAGTTTAGATATTACACTAGCACATATATTAAACTGTTTACATTATAATTGCCTTAACTGTTTTAGTATATCTTACTTGGATGAAATACACCTGATTTTTCAATCATTATTTGCTTGTTTTGAATTTCACAGCTTGCCACAACTGAAACAATGTATAAGTTTAATTTCCATCTTACAGAAAAAAAACAATGCTACAAAAGTGCTAATTTAATAATAGCGAATAATTTAAATTTTACACACATATATTTCTAAATGTTCACTTTCTACTACATCTTTAATATTCAATCACCATTTATAATGTGTTGCAAAAATGTTTTTTAAACAGCCAATGTGAAAAAAGATCCTCTGTGCCTACTGCTACTGTTGTGAAATAGAGCTATAATTATTATGACATTTATTGCAACAGTACACACATTTTTAACTGTACAGCTTGATAAGCAATAACAGATGATTTCAGAATTGTAAAACAAATTACCTGACAATTTTTAAATGAATTTAAATCAACTTTTTTCTTACCTGAACTGCGTGGCTCCTGTTTTCTTTTTGACTTTCTGTAGGAATTGCCACGGCCAATACTGCTGTAGTATAAAATAAGTATCATTATATACCAGTGATAATCTTAAAAATTATTTAAACATCTTAAGATTTATTTTAATTCTAAAAAAAATAATACTATAAAAAATTGAAAATGGTTAAATTAGCAAAATAGGTAATAACTTAAGGCTTTATAGTATCAAATTTTTATACTAAGTAGTCTATATAAAAATAAAATATTAATGTAAATAGCAATACTTATTTCTTCTTGTTTAACAAATTAAAAAAAATGTAAGTTTCTAAATTTTTGAACACTTACAACTTGGAGATTATTAAATGGTTCAGCTTGAACCTTGACTACAAACACCTTTCTGTTCTCAAGTAAATGTTGTTAGGATACACAGATAGCAGTCAGACCTTGAAATCATGCTCTGAAATAATACAATATAGTATAACAACATATGCCATATAATACATATATACCATATAATATAATTAATTTTTACTCTTTATTGATAACAGTGGGGGTGAAGGAAATTCACAAATGTGACTAATTTTTGTTATACAAATTATATTACCAAGTAAGCTATGTAGGCCTACTTGAGTTTGTTTAAAATTTAATGTTTTACCAAAAATGAGTTTAAATTTAAATAAATTAAATTATGTAACATTTATCAACATTTGTATCAAAATTCAAAGAATTAAATAAATCTTACAATATTCACACAATTCAAACACTTTAATGTTGTCCTTAAACACAACCTCTTTTCTTGCTAGAACGGAATGCATTTGAACACACAGGAGAATCAAAGCGTCAACACATGAAAGCATATAATTAAGGCTAGATAAACACAGGAACCCTTTAAACTTAAAAAGTATTATAAACAGTGGCGGAACTAGAAAAAAAGGGCCACCCCGCAAAAAATTTTTTTAGGCCCCCCACCCATATATATGTATATATGTATATATATATATATATATATATATATATATATATATATATATATATATATATATATATATATATATATATATAAACACAAAATACGAACAGAGCATAGGATGCTCATTGCTGACCTGTTCAGGTTTTGAAAAAAAATGGGTTTTTTTCAATTAAAACAAATTACTACATGTCATGTGTGTAAGTGCTTTAGTGTGTTTTGAGAAAATCAGTTTTCATTTTATCTGTTATGAATTCTCTTAACATCTATCTGGTCAAAAGAATATAAAACATAAAATCTTTGTAGAAGTAATGGTGTCTCGTGTTGTGATTATTTTTATGTTTTTTTTGTATTTATATTATTAATTTTAAATACATTTCCTTTTTATACAAAGGTCATTCTTTAGAAAGTATTTTATGAAAAAATATTTAGTAAGAGAAGTAATTGCTTTTTAATTTGTTTAGTACAATTCTATTAAAAGGAGCTTATGAGCACCCCAATTTGACTATTTTAAAAGGGAAATAAGTCATGGAAGTGGTTTGAACGTTTCCTTATCTTTGTTAAGTTTAATTGTAGAGGAGAGAGGACTTGGCTTTCACAGTGGTTTAAAAAGAAAGGGAAAAAGAATATACAAGAATATATGGTGTCTATAGAATAAAGATAATCAAACCGCAGCTATGGTAATCGTTTTACAAAACAAACATCAAGTCAAAAATTGCAAGAAAATTAGATTTTTTTAACTATAATAAAAACTATTAGGGTCGGCCGTGGGCCCCTAAATGGCGTGGGCCCCCCCGCATTGCGGGGTCTGGCGGCACTGTAGTTCCGCCCCTGATTATAAAGTAAATAAAGTCATGTAATTAGCAGGAAATTGTGTTAAGACATTTAGCACCCTTTACTTATACAAGTAGGTCCTTCGTTATATTTCAATGACTGTAAGATATTTAACCACAACCTAAGCTCTTGGCTGCTAACCCAAGTCAAGAGAAGGTCTAGATCTAGAATTTTAAAAAAGTTTTCTTTAAACTAGAGCTAGTGTGTGGTAACAAACAAAAATTACTTTTTAAATCTATTCAAACTGTCTAACAACTCTAACCCTATGTCAGTCTATAACTCTAGGACCCTAGGATAGTTACCACTTCACTAATTTAGCCATGGATTTGAATATAGATTTAGACAGACTATAGGGAAACTAGTCTAGTTTTTAAGAGCTTGAAATCTAGATCTAGTCTAGATAGATTAGTCTATAAAACTAGAATTCAAGATCTAGATTCTAGACTTACTGAGTTCTAAATCTACTAGTTACTAGATTTCTAGATCTAGTAGATTCTAAATACTAGACTAGATCTACTCACTAGAGTCTGGATTATGATCTAGATCTAGAGTTCTTTGCCGATCTGCACAATGCCCAAAGCCGCAGTCACTCTCCGGTTTTCGGCCTAGACTCTAGATCTATCTATAGATAATCTAGATCTGGCAACTTTATTTTGATGTTTTATGCAAAACCGCAGTTTTTGAAATTTGATTTAGTAACTATTACTATTAGTATTAGATAATTAGAGTCAAGTCTAGATTTTAAATCAAAAGTGCGAGAGATCTATCTAGATCTAGATCTAGAATCTATAGAGATATTCTAGATTCTAGATCTAGTATCTTTAGAGATAATCTAGATCTAGCTACTTTATTTTGAGGTTTTATGCAAAACCGCGGTGTTTGAAATTTGATCTAGATCTAGTAACTATTTGTATTAGATACTTAGAGTCAAGTCTAGATTTTAAATCTAGAGAGCGAGAGATCTATCTAGATCTAGAAGAATATTGTATAGATCTAGGCCTATAAGTATAAATAATATATACGATAGAGTCTATAATAGTCTATATAATAGAGCTCAATATAATTATAAGAATATAAGATCTAGATTTTTTTCTAGTCTAGATAAAAACGTAGATCTCTAGATCTTATAGACTTTATCTAATCTAGCTAGATCTACTGATCTAGGGTTACATCTAGAATTCTAGATCTAGATGATAACTCATTACATAATACATATATAATATATAATGTTCAACATACTTAAATTTTAAAATTAGATGAAAGATATTCTAGACCTATAACCAGAACCTAGAAATGTAGTTACAATGTAGATTCTTAATCGATTTACATTTTACATCTAACCATCTAATTAATTTATATATATATATATATATATATATATATATATATATATATATATATATATATATATATATATATATATATATATATATATATATATTACTGGTACGTACTACGCCAAGTAGGCCTACCAGTTTGCTAATGAAATGAAACGAAATGATCGTCTGCTGTAAAACTGGTTTCACTTTTTGAAGTATCGATACCATAATTTATCAGTTAACATTCCATTTAGGCCTTAAGTTACAGAAATAAGGCTATTTTACGGGGATTAATTTAAAAAAAAAAAGCTTAAAATTCTGCATATTTTAAACACAGCATCTTTCTTTTTAAATTTCAACATTTTGTAGGGCTATAATGTGCATCTCGGTAATAGTAGAACGTTTAATTATTTTAAATATGGATATGGTCCAAATTGGCATATATAAATACTAGATTTAAACTGTCCCATTTTCTGCGACTTTTAACCACATTATTTTTTACATCCTGCAGCAAAACTGATCAATAGAACCAATCAGTTCATGTAGGAGGTCACTCGTTGCAGATCAGTTGGCAACATTAAAAAGTTTTCCCTTTCAAACCTGATGGTCTATGGGGCAAGTGAAGTAGAGTTCACTTGTTTCTGTGACCTTGGCAAACATTACGACATAATTAATAAGTGATGATATTTTAATGTGTTTGAAAACGATTCATATGTAGACCTTATTTATTTTTTCTTGGTAAATTCAATTTGATTATTTCCGTTAATTTGAAAACTATTGTGTCTATGGAGAAACAAAAATCATGGGTGTTTCAAATAATCCATACATTATTTAACAATAACTTACTTTAGATCGATTTTCAAAACCCACTTGGGTAATAAAATCTATATGCATTTCTTCGTTTTTAACCATGCCACCCGTCATATTATCTTTCGTATTTAAAAACGTCACAATACCACATCTTCTCCACATCTTCTCCACATCTTCTCCACACCCCCCCCCCCCACACACACACACCCTGCCTCCTACCCCCGCAATGCTTGACATTAAGCTCGACTCCTCCCAAAAAAAAAAACTCACATAACATATCCGTATTGAACTTACTAAAAAGGTTCAGTTCAGTTACTGGCAAACCATGAACAAAACTTAAACAGAAACTATTTTTATAAAAGCAGATCTACAGCTTGATCAAATAAAGTAATACAATTTGGTAGCTATATATATATATATATATATATATATATATATATATATATATATATATATATATATATATATATATATATATATATATATATGTATATATATACCACTGACCTTTGACAACATTTTGAAAAGTTATACAGAATTTTACTCTAGAACAAGTACCTTAATCCCAGCTCCCCCCCCCCCCAAATTGTATAACAAGCCTACACGGTTACTTTTTAACGAAACGCACGGGGATTATGGGGAGGGGGTAAACATAGAGAAAAAGTTAAGTGAGGGGGGGGGTGTGCTATATTTTAAACTTAATATTGATGTATTTAAAATCTTTAATTTTTGTGTATGCAGATTTGATAAGGTTTAAAAATTTAAATTCACAAAGTCAAATTCGTGTGTGCAGATAGGTCGAAGCTTAATAATAGGTATTCAATTTTCTTTATTTAGTCAATTTTATGTGTATAAGTTATTTCTACAGGTAATATAATACACACATTTCTTTATATCTATTAGTTTATTTTAATCATCTGCATTCGAATAATACATAAAACCTAACTGCATATATATATATATATATATATATATA